CAACAGCCATAGAAATGAAAATACAAAAAAAAAATTAATGCGCACCAACACACACGACCCCACACACACACAGAGAGAGAGGGAGAGAGAACAGAGCGATGCCACCTGGTTTGAACTCTTGACTCTGCACAGGCACGCATGCGCAAGGCCCAAGCTAAGCTAGAAAATTTCGCTGCTGCCGTTTTTTCCCACTAGAAATAACATTTGCCCCTGGGCCTGCTTATCGTTTCCCATGCCCATTTCACAGCCAGTGGCATTTGCTAGCCGTTGGTAACAGCGCTTATCGATGCTCGAAAAATGTCGATAAATTTGCACAGTTGGCAACACAAAATGGCCGCCGCTGCAGCAACAGGATGGCAGCACGCAAATGGCGGCAAAATATGGACACTGCACTCACTTTTTAACAGATTGATCTGTTGCTGCTGTTGTTTGTTTGTTTGTTTGTTTGTTTGTATGCGCCGCTTGTTCGGTTTGTTTTATGGAATTCCTGTTGGTTTTACACTACGTATCTCACTTCAATGCAAATGCACTTGGACTTGGGTATATGTATGTATTTATGTTTTATACAAAGCACATATATATATATATATATATATTTAGAAAAAAAACCGCAATAACTGTTGTATTTAAAAAAAAAAATTCTTTTTGCGCTTCTGTGTTCTTGTGCGTGTATACCGTTTGGTGGCTGGGACCAAAAGTGAGCGCTGAAAGCGAGCGCGCTTTCTTTTTATAGCTGCGCCGGGCGCCACACAGACAAGACACACACACACACGCGCGCGCGCGCACCGAGCGACTCTCACAGTGGCACGAGCGGCATGTAAAAAAGCAGATCGAAAAAAAGTTTCCACAGCTGCTCTCAACATTTTCTTTTAATTTTAGACCGTTTTTCTGGCTGTGCTCGACAAAAACAGCTAAAAACCATGATGCCTGCAATGATAACGCACATGATATCACTAGTTAGACAGAAAGCCTACGAACAATTTATAAATATTTCTTCTTTTTTTTTTACATTTTTTCTATTTACAAATGTTTTGGCATTTGAAGTTTTGCATATTTTATTTTGGCTTTGTTTTAACTATTTTCGGAGGAAAAACGAGATTGTTCCAGAGTTTTCCATGGTAAAATTTACGCATAACTTAAAATTAAGTTTTTCCAAGCATTATTTTCATAGATCATAGATCATAGAGAACTGATATGATAAATTAGAGAAATTTCAAAGATCTTAAAGATTCAAGATTTGAAAGATATTGCTTAAGAATTTTGATAAAAATAAAAAAGTTTTTTGATCAGATTCCGTTTCTATCTATGTCTAATAGCAATAATTATTATATGTACTTAGATATTCAAGAAACATTGAAGAGAGCAAAAGCTCTCGTTAAGTTTTTACACATTCCTCTGTGTACCATGTTCGGCAACGTTATGCTGGCTGCTTGCTCTGAACCCGTTATGACAGTAAATCATTCAAGAACAGCTGTTAGCTGCTTAAAATGATGGGACATAAAACGCAATGGGGGCGGGGCGTTCATTTGAGCATGCTTTTCATAGGGCTCTTCGGGGTATTAATATTAACGGCCTCTTATGGGCATTTGGTGTATAAAAAAGCCAAGAAAAACACCTGCCACTCGACTCAGAGAAGCAATGTGGAAAATTCAAGAATGAAATATGCAATTTTTTATGACTTGTTTCGCTTAATGCATTGTGCATAGCATTCCAAAAGCAACAAGAATGGCACTCGCGATGCGCTTCGCTGCGTCGACTGGGGCTTAAGGTTGGGTCTTGGGCTATGGACATAACCGCAATCCCATCAGAATTGGTAATCGGAATGGCAACTGGAGGCGGATCAGGTTGTGTCTCGGGTCGGGTCGGGTCGCAGTACTAAATGCAAATATCTAAACGCAGCGCCTGTTGCTAAGCATAAAAGACAACGAAGAGTGCCATCTACTTCGGAGTGCCCGACTGTGAGATACCCTAACCTAATTCTAATTTCAAGCTTCTTCTTCTTGATTAACCTAGGAACTTATGGTCCGATTTGCAGCTCAAACTCTACAAATTTTCTTTTGAGGAATTGGGTGAGTTTTCCAAGAGGAGCCTATTATCTGCAATCTGTAAACTAAAAAAACACCTTGACTAAAAATCGATATTTATCGATATTATGAAAATGCAAGAAGAAGAGCAAATTTATGTATCCCGTCTGTGCATGGCATCTCAGAATCTATATTTCTCAAGCCAGACGGATAAGGTTCAAGGTCGATTTATGCCGCCTTCTGCCTGTTACATGCACTTGCACAAAAACATGTTACCCTTTTAAGCCATTTGCAATGGGTTCTCGGCATACGAAATTCTCATTGCAGTTGGGAAAAACCGGAAGTGATCGTCCCACCCTGCACCGGCCCGCCGCCCTGCCGCCCCGCCGCTTCGTGCAAGCGTCTAGCCAAAGCGAAGACAATCAAAAATAGATTGTGTCATCTAACGGGCTAGTGATCGGTCGGTCGGACTCCGTCAGTGCAATATGATATATATACATGCATATATATATATATATATATATATATATATATATATAGATACTATGGCATAGCATGAATGGCAATTGGATGTACATAAGCCAAAATCTTGGATGCTAGTCAAAAATGCCAGCTGTCTATTTGAGAATGGAACGCAGCCCGGCGCTGCGACGGCGATGCCTGCGATTCGAATCCTGCAAAGAAATGCGTTTAGGGCGCGTGCCCAGCTGCTTTGGCTTGTCAAAGCCTGTCTATACGACCATATACATATATACATATATATCTATACCTGAGCTGATATCGTAAATTGAAACAAATTCGAATTGCATTGTTGTTAGCCGCTTTCTGTTTGGCCGACAGCCACAAGTGCATGGCGATGTTGGGCAATTGTACTAAGTATATATGTGGTCAGGGGCAGGTAAACGTGTCTAAATCATCTAGTATATCTATGGCTCTACCAAACACATACACACACACACACAGCGAGAGAGGGAGAGAGGGAGACACACGCACACGCTCACATAAATAAAATCAAGTCATGAATGAAAATGCGTTCGCCTCAGCGATTTCCTGTTGCATTTTGCATTTAACAATTTTTACCTTTCTACATGCTCTTCTTCTTCTTCGTCTTGGTTTCTGTGTGCCACAAAATTGCTTAGCATAAACTTTTTGATATATCTGCGAGCGTTGAAAGGCCTAAGCAGAACAATTCATACTTTGTGCACCGCCTCAATATTTGGCATACGTCCATTCAATTCAATTTTTAATTCGTATCGTACAACAAATCGGTTTAGCAAAGTAATATATAATTACAAGCATAACTGAATGTGCAATTTGTCTTCATAAAATACACATATAGTATATAGCTGCTTCTTTCTTCTAGAACAATCATCGTGGTCAGGACACAATTTTTGATTGAATTTCATATGCTTTTCTCATATGCTCTGTTTCATTTTGGCCTCAATTATTAGTTCGCAGCAAATTTCAATTTATGTCTCATGGGAATCACCCAGAGAGACTCCGTTGTTCTGCATAATAAACACAATTTGGCTAGGACTAGCAAAGAAATGAAATGAAATTGTTGTTTAACGTTTAAGAATGGCCTTCAAAGCAACGTGGCAAAAATTGAAAGCACAAGCGATATAATAAGCATCATAAGGGCCAGTTGAACGTTTAAGAATGTCGCACAAAAAGGAATCGGCAAGAAATGCCCTTGAAAGTTCGAACAACCGATTCAACGGTTGCCAAGAACATTTTCCAACCCAAGAAGGAATATGCTCAGCTTAGTTCTAATGCTTATTAAATTTCCTTTTAAATATTTGTTCTTAGTCATATAATGAATGTTAGAGCATAGGAAAATGAAAGAAAAAAGCGGGGGCATTATCATTTTGCCACGACAAATGCGAAACTAAACAAATTGAACGGAAATAGGCTTGAACGTGGTCTCAAATAAGTTCAGATGTGACAAAATGCTTTGAAAGCGTTCTACTATATTATGCGGCAGCTATGGGCAGAGGCAAGAGTATTTCATCGTCGGCATGCAAAATATATGCCGTACTTTCCCATTTTTGTTGCCTGACATCTTCAGCTAAGAACTGAACTTTAAGGCCATAATTGTATTTAGCTGCAGCGATTATTATCTTAATATATATATAGAGACCATGCGGGATATGTGTATTTCAGCCTGGGCCCACAAATAATACACAGCATATGCGGACACAATTGTTTTAAAATAGCAACCGAAACGTCAAAGGGGCCACGCAGCGCCCACTCCCGGCCCCCGGCCGAACGGGAGGGGAGCGTTGTTGCAAATGAATCATCAACATTCGGCATTGGCATAAAGTTCACGAATTGGCCAAGAAATGATATGTTAAATGCGCTCAGTCCTGATTTGGGCATGCAAGTGCAATTTATTTTTAAATGCGCGTCACACGTGGCGTATGCGCAATGCAACAAAATTGCGCATACGCAGCTTGGTCTGAATCATAACGTCTATTTCGTATATATTTTTATTATTATTATTATTATTATTATTTGAATATTTTGGCATTATGGCGCAGAATGTTTTGTTTTCTTTTTGTTGTTTTTGATGGCCCAATGCTTACATCTATATATAAAGTGTGTGCGTGTGTGTGCGTGTGTGTGTGGCAAGTGTTGAAAGCACTCGCTAAATGACGCAAAATGTGTTGCGCCAAAGCGAAATTGTTATTATTATTATTAATATTATTGTTTTTAGCCTCGCAGAGGGCATATTATAATTTGGTTAAAACATTTGGCCATATATATTCCTGATCAATAGCTCTACATACCATATACTAGCTGCCATGACATTTTTGCACAGATTTCTTAAGCAAACTGGGCAATTTTCTTATGAACAATATTTAATCTATATTGGACAACTGACACATCTACGTCTATGGGAAAAGTCGTTTCGATATGAGTTTTTAAACGTTTTTTGTTTTTTTTTGTTATATCTGAAGTAAATGGGGTATGATAGGTTTGTGCAAATGCATGGAACAGGCAGACAGCAAGGAAGCATTTTCTGTTATATATGTAAATAGAGATACCGGATCCACTCCAGCAGTATGTAACGATCTCTAGCTTTAAGTACTGGGATACTTGATATCGATTTTTCATATTGAATCGTTCTTTATTTGCTTTTACATGAAATCGAACAACAAAGCTATCGAATGCTTTACTTTATAGATCTCTTTCTAACTATATTTTTCGCTTTCGAGCCAAAACTCTTCAATAAAGAATTTGAGAAGTTAGAGCCGTGGGCTTTCTAATTCATAAGCATCGGACTACAAGCACCGAGGCTAAACGTGCAGAAGAAGCACAGCTTGTGGTGTGTTTTGTGTAAATGTATATAGATGGAAAGCTGGCATGTTTGTAATGGCTCAGGGTACCTATTGGTCGGCTACTCCCGCCGAGTAGAGCGCTCTCGTAATTTTTGTGTAAGGGTATATTGTATTTGTGCGAAATACAAATGTATGTAACAGGCAGAAGGAAGCAATTCCGACCCCATAAAGTATATATATTCTTGATCAGCATCAATAGCCGAGTCGATCTAGCCATGTCCATCTGTCTGTCCGTCCGTATGTATGAACGCAAGGATCTCAGAACCTATAAGAGCTAGAGAGAAATGTTAGATGTAGATGCTCCTAGTTCCC